CGCCCGCCCGCGGCGCCCCCACCGCCGCCGCCGGCGCCAGGCCCGTCCCCGCCGCTCCGGCTGCCGCCCCAGCCCGCGCCCCCCGCCCCCGGAAGCGCTTCCCGGCCCCGCCCCCTCGGCGCCAGCGCTTCCGGGCAGGCGCGGACGGGGGCGGTGGCGCTGCGGGACGAACCTCTCGCTGGGCCTCGGGATTCCGGATCCCGCCTCGGCCGAGTGTAGGAGCCTCGCGGCGGACGCGTGGGCGAGCGGCGGCCTTGGTCCCGACTCCGGGAAGGAGCGGCGGCGGCTTTGCGCCCCACGGCCTTCCGCCCGCCTTCTCTTCGGCGCCCCCTGCTGGCCGGAGGAGGGCTCCGCAGCGGGGCGCGCCGCGGGTCTCCCGGAGCGGAGAGGAATGGGTAGGCCAGGACCCTCGACCCGCCACCCCCGGGGGGCCTGCGACCACCGGTGGCCCAGCCCTCCCCTTCCGAGACCCTCGATCCCACAGCCCTTCGGGCGCCTACCCCTCACCCGAACCGCTCCCGGCGGGACAGATGAAGGCAGTAAGGTGCAGTGGTGACAAGCACGGGCCTGGGGACCTGCCATATCGGGTCACTTAACGTATGACCTTGGGAAGATTACCTACCCCCCTAAAGCGGGAGATGAAAATTCCGAACTTGCGGTTATAAAACCCCTGCCGCAGAGCAGGCCTCAAAAAATGTGCATTTCCTGATCCTTGGAGACACCCCAATGTTGATACTTGGCTGCGAGTGCGAGCTTGGCCAGCATTTTCCTCTCGGCTTTGGGCGAATTTAACCCCCTTTGAAGAGGTTTACCCCCTTTGTATTTTGGCGGATTCCTCCATAGTAGTGGCAGAGTTCATTTTCCCTTTTCTGAATTTGTAATAAAAATAAACCAGGAGTCAAGATACCAGCTCTTCTTCAAGATACAAAGCTGGGACTTCTGATGCTACTTCATCCTTTGCAATCAGGAACTCTTTCTCTGGGTTCTATCAAATAGTCATCTTCCAATAACAACAGCTACCCTTTGTTAGTCTGTGCAGGGCACTGTGCAGACACTTTATAGACATGACCCCCTTTAATGCACAACCCCAGGGGGTAGCCATCAATTATTATCTCCATTTTATCCAGGAGGGAACCGAGGCTCAGAGAGGTTAAGTGACGTATCTAAAGTCACACAGCTGAATGGCAGACTTGGGATGAGCTCCCTATCTCTCTTGACTCCAGACAGGAACTTCTTATGGCAACAGAATATTCCAAACACAGAATTTTAGGTAACCAGTTTCTAACTGCAGGCACCTGGGCAGTGTCACTCTCTAATTACTCTTCCTCTTGAGCTATTTCCTTGAGATCTGTCCCCAAGAGTGAGATCAGTGAACTCAAGGGCACAGGAATGCATCTTCTTGTCACACCAGGTTTCCTCAGGACCACTGACTGGGCTGACTCACAAGCCCACATGAGTGAGTTCCTGTTTCCCTTCAGAGCAGCTGTGGGCCTCATCATTTTAACTTGATTGTTGCTAAATTTGTTGGTAGGAGTTGGGGTCTTCTTGGCTGTAATACAGTATTTGCATGTCATTAAGGACTGTAACATGTTCCTAAGTGTTTCACCTTTTTGTCATGTGTCTCTCAAAGTTACTGGCCATCTGTCCATTGGACACTGGGTATTTCCCTCACAGATATATTTTTATTTGCCCACCTACTTGGGCCACTAAATTCCTAGATTTTTCCAGTCCCCTGCTTTTATTTTTGTCATTTGGCTGATTATGTGTCATAATCTTCACTAATTTGTTGTAGTTAGAAAAGCGTCGCTTCTCCACAATTGGAATGTATGTGTTTCTGTTTTCCCATAATCTTGGTAGCATTTTCAAAGTGATTTTTCAGCCCATTTGAAATCAAAAAGAGGCTAGAGGGTGATGTATGGGCCTCATTTTAATTTATTCCACAGTTATCCAGCCTTGCCAGCAGTGTTTATGAAATGGTCAAATTCACATCTCATCAAAGTCTGGGCTTAACCTTCAATCCAGTCAAGGAGTGGTTTTGCCATTATGGGGGTCAGCATTTGTGAGAGTGACAGCTGGTGTTGGCTGATATCTGTGTTCCTCCTTCTCTTCTGAGGCACGTGGCTAAAACACGTCTCCCTGCCTGCCCTCCTCATCACGTGTCAGTGGAGATAGTGTGTGAAGTGCTTGTAAGTGAATTCCCTTCCCTGTCTTTCTTCCTCTCCCTTCCTAGGACAGACGGCACTGAATCTTCAGTTCTCACCTATTTCAGATTCCTGAGCACTGATAGCCAGGTTATCTGATCCCAGCCTGTCCCTCTTCCGGTTCCCACAAGGAGACCCTTTCTGCCAGAGGTCAGGCTATGCTATGTGGCTCTGGCCCACTTAAAAATCCCCAGAGTTTGGAGGTGCTTGGCGGGCTCAGTCAGTGGAGCTTTCGGGGTTGTGAGTTTGAGCCCCATGCTGGGTGTAGAGATTACTTAAAAATAAAATCTTTAAAAACAAAATTAATAAATAAAACATAAAATCCCCAGAGTTCGGCAAAATCTGTCTGTGTTGGCACCTGTTAGAGTCTTTACAGGACACACAAGAGTCTGAGTATCCCTTAAACACGAAGATTGTATGAAGTATTGGGGCTTTCCTCATTACCGCTCCCCTCACCAGGATGTGGGTGTATGCCCCTTCCACCTGCCTCACTACCTACTAGTTCTGGGCCAGCAGGGGGCGTCTGTCTCCCCAAATAGTCCCAAGATGTCCACTGATTTCTAGAACATCCCAGACGGTCAGGGTTCCTTCCACCTGACCACCTCTGCAGGGTAGCGTCAGTGTTCCACCGGGCCAGGAAGAGCCCTCTTCCTTGGACACCCCCCTCATCCCCCGTGCCTGTGTAACAGGGACCAGGTAGTTGGTTCACGCCTCTGAACCTCTCTTCTTCATCTGTTCAGTGGTGATTGGACGGTGAGGTGTGAATCATAGTCTCACTTCCCACCGCCAAGGCTGGGCAGTAGGGTGCTGTGGCTAACCAGTGAGGCAGATCCGGGTCTCCGTTTCTGCTCAGCCACAGAGCTCCATGATCCGATCCAGGGCAAGGCACTCATCCTTCTGAGCACTGGCCTCTGCATCTGCGTACTGGGTGATAGTACCTACCTTCACGGGTAAATAAGGTAATGATTCAATGCTTCCAGCATGGCACACTCAAGAATTATTCTTGATCAACAAGAAAGCGAGGGAGAAAGTCTGGCTTCGAGAGCCCCCGCCCATTTCCATGAGGCCTTTTCTTACTTCCGGGAGAGATGGCTTGCTGTCTGCTCTCCTCCCGCTTCAGCTATTGCACTTCTGAGTGGGCCTGCCTTCCTTTGGACCTGAGCCCTGCTGACACCCACAGAGGGAGCACAGATGCTCCCTCTGGAGCCCTTCCTCACTGCCCGTTTCTTCCTGCCCTCTCAGTTTCCTGCTGATTTTCCAACACTGCGCCTTTAACCGACTCTGCTGGCACGCTGTACTTCTCCTTTGTAGGCACCACAATGGTAATTAATTAATTATCTGCACAATTATGAGCTTAATATCTGTGTCCCCCACCACTAGCCTATAAACTCCATGAGGGTGAGACCTTGTCTGACTTCTTCCCTGCTGTTTCTCCAGGTCTTGGTACTCCATAAGTATCTGTTACATTAATAGATAATGACTAGTTACCTGTTTTGATTTCTAACTATGTTCCTTGAGGACAGGGACTATTTAACTGACCCATTTCCTCTGCATCCTGCGGAGAACCTGAATGAGCAGTAACAAATATTTGCTGAGTGAGACAAAGAATGAATGAATGAATGAATGAATGAAGACCGAACCCCTCTTTCTCCTCCCCTTTTCCCTGCAACACACCTTACAACCAAGTCTCCCCATCTGTGTAAAAAGTCCTTGGTCCTAACCAGCCTCTATTTTGCAGCTTCCCTTGACCCATGATGAGGATAGATGAGAAAGACCTTCCACATTTGTAGGGAATTCTCATTTGAAAAATGGAGTTTGGGGGAAATCTGCATGGGTCCTCTCTGTGCCCTGCTTCTTGCGGAGGACACACCTACCTGGTCAAAAGAGAGGGTACTCAGGAGAGGGTACACAAATACATACAGGACTGCCTTTGGCCCAGAGCATTTGCCCCCCACTTATCATCAAAGCTGTTAACTGCAAAGTTTCATGCTCACACTCACATGCTATGGTAGGCAGTGCTGGATTCTGGTTAAGAGAATGGGGGAGTCATTTTTTTAAACGTAAGCTCTAGAGCCAAGATGGGGCTTGAACCCACGACCTGAGCTCAAGAGTCGTGGGCTCTACTGACTGAGCCAGCCAAATGCCCCAAGAGTGGGGGAGTCTTTAGAGTTGCTTTGGGTGAATCACTTATCTTTTTGACTTTTTGCTTTTTCTTATTTCTCTGAATATGGGACCTAATATTACCGAATTTCCTCTTTTAATCAAGGATGCATTCTTGTTCACATTTAAACATTCTTGGAATCAGAAGACATCTTACAATCAATGAGTATATTTAATCAGGTTGTGTTTTGTGTGTGTGTTTTTGTTTTTGTTCCAAACGCAAATCAACAAATCCAGAGTATATCTCAGAATCAGTAGCATTCTTGAGAGCTATGTCTCCCAAGACACGGCCCTGTTGTAACTCACAGGCACATGTCTGACTAAAGTCAGTAAAGTGGAGACATCTGCAAAGATCTAGCCTGGTTTAAAAGGTGACTTTGTGCTCTCAGTGTTAGAAACCGGGCACAAACCCGCTGGGCACGCCTTGGATTTCAATGAAAGGAGCAAACCGCACGTGAAGAGTATTCACGCCATCACATGTGTTTAATGTAAAGCCAACATCCTGTCCATCAAACACGAGACTAGAAACATTGCTTGCCGTCGCTCAGAAGTCAGAGGGCTTTGCGGGATGACTTTGATGACCAAGACTCTTTAAAATATACCCGGGGAGGTGGACCTTTCCTCCCTAAGTAAATTTCCCTAGAGCAAATAGTTCCATTGACCTTCGACATGACTTCAGTGCTTTCCTGAGTTGAGAGCTATTTAAAAATAAAAGTCATGGCATCTGATTGTTTGAAGGCTTCACTAACGATTTCAAGTATGAGGGTCTGGAGAGGGGGTGTCTCTTTCATCTCTCGCTCTCTTTTTCCCTTGTGCTAGTTTTTTAGTCCTTTTCTCCTTACAATAGGATCAGAATGAAGGAGGGCCCTTTGGGAACAGAGTCCCCAGACTGTGGGTCTGTGGGATGGTCCCAGGCGTTGTGGAGGGAGGACAGTCTATCTTTCTTTTTCTTTCAATCAACTTTAATGAGGTATGATGAGGATTGGCCAATGTAGACATTTGTTAACTGCCACCCCAACCTTTCCTTTTTTGGTTTTTGATCCTGCGTCATAGAGCCCCTGTGCATCCTGGCCTCGCTTGTGCAACTGTAGGAATCAGTAGCCGAGGGAGTCCCAACAGGGGAGGTGAGATCACCATGCTCAAAGCAGATCAGCTGGACAGTGGAGGCATACAATGCCTGAGGGACCCTGGCATGCTATCACTGTTGCATATTTACTCATTCAACAAATATTTATTGAGTGCTGAGTGCCAAACATGGCCCGAGGTCCTGGGAATATAGCAGTGGACAGGGGGAAGCAACCCTTACCTCTCAGGAACAGCCAGGGAAAGAGAGGCATAGACTAACAAAATGTATAGTGTGTTAGATGGGGAGAAGGGCTACGGAAAAAACGAATAGGGAAGGGAAAGGGGGAGAAGACCATACATCACCCATTGAGAGAGTTTGGTACTAGTTTGAGGTTCTCATCCTCTATATCAAACAAAAGGGTGCTCCCAGGTGCAGAGTGAGCAGCATCCTGCGTGGCACCTGCCTTCCTGAACTTAATCTTCCTCCTCTCTGCTGATCCTGAGCTGGGGCTTGCTTGAAACCTGTGTACCTGCCCTGCTCTGATCAGTCCTCTTTTGCTGGGCTCCTCTAGGATCTGCTCCTCACTAGGTCCTATGTTTCTTCTGTCCACTGGTCTCAGCTCTGTCCATCTCTGTCCATCCCCCGAACTGGGCTGACTGTGTCTTCAGATTCAGTGCTTCTTTCCTCATATTTCCAAGATTGGTCCCATGGTAAAAAACCATGAACCCTGGGCAAGGATAATCAGACTCTATAAACCTCGGTTTTCTCATGACGATAGTACCTGATCCAGATGGTTATGAGAACCCCATGAAATACGAGGAAAGGTGGTTCTCAGAGCCTCGTACTTGGTGGGTGCTGAATCAGCAGGAGCTCTTAACATATGAGGGACTGAACCAATGGCAGCAATGCAAGGGGGAACGCAGTATGGAGGTGCACCCTGGCTTTGTCTCCCCTACCCCTCCCTCCAGATCTCCCCTCCCTTCCCCCCACTGGACACTGTCATTCTCGGCTCCCCTTTCATCATGGAGCTTAGCTTCTTGGAATCTTTGCCTCTGGCCACTAAAAGAGAAAAACTCTTCAACTCATCGGCTCCCTCCCTCCCTCCCTCCCTCCACTCTCATCCCCCCAAGAACAGTTTCTGTTCAAAGGGGATGATGCCTTTCTTGTCAGTCAGGACTCAAGAAGATGGTGGTATCTTGGCCCCTTCTTTATTCCTAATGATCTGGTTTGTAAGACGTCTTTCTCCTCTCTGAAAATAAGTAGCCTTTCAGAACACCCAGCAACCTTGGCGTTCATTGCTGAACTAGTCAGTGCGTTAAATTTGTCCAGGGTACTCCTTTGCCCAGGGAGATTCTCAAAATTTCTGCTCTGATCCTTCTGCTGGCAGGAACCAGGGCACCTGTGCTATTTCCCAATGTGGAAGCTGGGCTTAGCTGACAATTTATACCGCAACACTTTTTTTTTTTTTTTTACTTGTCCTCAGTACTCATGACACTCAAATAAGTAACCTCTGCCCATTCTCCTCTTCCTTTAAGCTTCTCCTCGTTTTTTTCCTTGGAATCCCAGAGTTTCGATGGAGTTGGATGTGCTCATCTGCTTGGGATTCTTAGGCAGGCCTTGTGGGCCTGATGTCTTGTTAGGGGTGGTTCAACTTCTGGTCAAGCAATAAATTAAGGACACAGTGCCGATGGTTAAAACTCACTGAACAGGGGCGCCTGGGTGGCTCAGTTGGTTAAGCGACTGCCTTCGGCTCAGGTCATGATCGTGGAGTCCCGGGATCAAGTCCCACATCGGGCTCCCTGCTCAGCAGGGAGTCTGCTTCTCCCTCCGACTGTCTTCCCTCTCGTGCTCTCTCTCATTCTCTCTCTCTCAAATAAATAAATAAAATCTTAAAAAAAAAAAACTCACTGAACAAAGGGAAGATGGGAAAACTCTCTGCACCTGTCTCCTCATCTGTAAAAGGGAGAGAACAAGTGTTCTTACCTCAAAGGCTTCTTGGCAGTAGTACAACGCGATCACGGTCATAAAGCTCTTACAAAGTGTCTCGTGTATGATAAACACACAAAACCCAGTAGCTCATATGTCCAAATTGGGGTTTGTTAGGATGAATCTCATTTTCCTGCTGAGGCTTCTCTACTCCATCCAGCTACCTGGGAGCTATCACACTGAGCCCTGAGCATCTGCTGCCTCCTCTGTCGGGCATAAGCAGCTTCACGATGGAGACCTTGTCTTGCCCTCTTGCAATTCTTAGAAGTCACCGGCATTTCCTGTTGTCAGGGGCTTCCTGTGACTCAAGAGCAGGGACCCTGTCTTGTTTCTCACTGTAGTTCCTGTGCCCAGCACCAAGCTGGGCAACAAGGCAAGTGCTCAATAAATGTTTTAAAACAAGGAACAAAGTTAGGACAAAAAGAGGTCAGGCTCCAGCTGGATCCCACTAGGGTGAGATGGCTCCGAACCAGGAAGCACCGATTTGCAGAGCCCTCCTGAGTGGGCAGCGGTCCAGCTGCCCTGCCTGGAGGCAGACCGCCCCCTGCTGCACCAGCCCTCCAGAGTCATCACTCCAGCCACCTCTCAGAACTGCTGCTCATCCTGCCTTTCCGGAGAAAGCTGAAAAACAGGCAGTTTACCTCTGAGAGGTGAGCAACAGTGATAACCCAGGTGCTAAGAGCAGTGTGTAACTGACATTGCTCCCTCTCCCAGTGGGGGCGCCCCTGGTCCCCTAAAACAACCAATGGTGTGTTCTAGAAACCCACCCATGGGAGAGCCATTCATTTCAGTAAATTATGTGGAGCTCTTCTCTAACTTTTGATGCTGCCTCAGCCTCTAGGTCCCTCTCTCAGTTGAACTTCCTCGGCAGAAAGGTCCTCTTGAATTCTCAGCCACACTGCAAAGACAGCCTGACCATGGCCCTCTGTACTGGGAGGCCCCGAAACTCAGGAGGAAGAGTTGGAGGTACAAGAGCAAGCCGGGCCCTTTCTTTGCTTAACAGAGTTCAAGCCATATTGTTGACCCAGGAATCTCTCCAAATTCCCATCATCTCCCTCATCTGCGTCACATTCCTCTAGTTGGGAATGCGGTTTCTAGCAGATGAGGGCTATGTGTGACAATCTCACTCATAGCTGAAACGGTCTGCTGCAGGGTATGGTGCTCTGATGGAGTCTGAGCTGCAATTTTAAGAGCAAATGATGAAAAATGGAGTATGGAGAACTATAATCACACACAACCACATGCATAAAGCTCAGAAACACAACACTGAGCTTAAGAAGCCACTAGGATATATACTGTATGATCCCATTTATATAAAACTCAAAAATAGGCAAAACTAATGGGGCTACTGCTAGTCAGGATAGGTTACTCCTGGAAAGAGGAATGAAGGGAATTTTGAGCCCTGGGTGTTTTGATCGGGTTACTGGCAACATGGGTACATTCATTTTATGAGAATTCATTGAGCTGTGCATTATGATTTGTGCTTTCATGCTTGATCATACTTCAGTTACACAAAAAAAGCGCATGTGCCCAGCAGGAAATCCTGAGATGCAGGACTGAATCACACAATGATAATGCAAGTATTTGTGTACATTTTCGTAAGTTTAAACTACTTCACAGAACCACGAAAAGAATAGCACGCCCAGCCCAGCTGGCTTATGTCCACAGGGGTCATTCAGCTCTACCAAGAGAAGCTTCTCTTTTCCTGGTGCAGGAAAGGAACTCATCCAGAGTCTCCTCCTTGATCACTGTCTGTACACGTTCTATATCATGACCCCTAATGGGGGCCAGGGGTCAGTAGCTGCCAGAAAGCACAGCTATTGTCTGGAGAAAACATGTTAACAGTTTCGCCTGGAGCTGACAGGGTCCCGTCTGGGGAGGGGCTCCTAAGCAGAGATTGAGACCGCCCATGCGCCGCGCAGAATCCCGCCCAGTGCCACTCTGATCACGGGACAAGCCGCCTTCCAGGCATTCTACAGAAGAGCAAGTTGACTTTCATCGTGCTCAGGGCCTGAGGGCAGGGGTGGGGGGGTGGGGGTGGGGTGCTTTGGGGTCGACTTCTGAAAGCAGCAGTTTGTGACTCTGATAAGATTACTCAAAGAACAAGGAAGAGGCTGTTTTTAAAGTGAGCCAAGCTAGTCATTTTTCTAAGTTCAAAAAGCAAATACAGCTGAATTATTGTCAGCCTCCGTTTGTAGAGGGTGGAGAGATTAGGAGGCACAGAAGCAGCTCGGCTGTGGGTGTGACTGTTGTACTTGACCTGGTTTGAGACCCACAGTCGGTTCCTGGTTCCAGGCACCAGGCTGTGACAGCTGGTCAGGGGCTGGTGGAGGTACAGCAGGGTCCTCTCAGTGAGTCAGTACATTTCAGTCGGAAGAGGGGAGCAACTTGAATGTGATAAAGCCGACCTTCAACACCCAGTCATTTCTGAAGCAGTTCTTGGCTTGGGCGGGGGTGGGGGGGGGCTGGTTATAAAAAATCTGCATTTGCTGGGTGACTGGGTTTACGAGAGGGAATACGACCAGTAATGGCACAGTGTCACACATTTCCGGCTCTCACCAGAACAAGAATTTAATGTCTTTTTATCTCACTATTTGGTCTCCCCAGTCTCTTATCTCGCTACTGTGCTACCCAAGCCTTCCTAAAGACGCAGGAGACAGTTCTGACTTCACCTGAACAGGATTGCTAGGTGCAGGCCCTATGCTGTCAGGAACACAGAAATGGAATGGACACAGGCACAAGGTGTTTATACCCGCTGGTCCTTGCAGAGCTTAGCAAAGTGCGTACAAATGATGCCTGCGTGAGTGACACAACTGGGCACGGACTGAACTGGGCAGGATAGTGAAAACTTAGAGGAGGTGGCCTTCAAAATGGGATTTATTCTGGGCAGGAGGAGAGGGAGCATTAGCAATGCTTGTGGTTACAGGGAAGTTGAGGGCAAGTTCAAGGAAAATGGGATTTGGCTGGAGAGTAGAATAGGTAGAACAGGATGGAGAAATAGTGGAAACAAACCAGAAAGGAAGTCTAAGCCTACAGTCTGGAGAGTTGGCGGCCTACTTTGACGGGAGTTGGGGGTTTTAGAACAGCTTGGCGACAGGGTGGAAGACTGAGGCTGACAGGTGTGTGTAGGATGAAGTGGAGTGAGGAGACCAGGCTGGTGCAACAACCTAGGTGAGAGGTAATTAGGACAGGGGTGGTGATGGCTACATTCCTGTCATTAAAGAACTGGATGTAATTTTGTATGGGGATAGGGTTCTTGAGATTCCCCTCATGACCTTCATGGAGAGAAGAGGCTGGGTATTGCCCATTCTTGAGGACATTTCTCAATTACATTAAAGGAATTTGGCTGGCATGCATGACTGGAGGGCACATGACCAGTGCCAGAGGCAAAAATCCCATGGAAGAAAACCAAGTTCAGAAGGAACCTCTGTTGTTCTTGTTCTGATGGACCCACATAGGTTAACAACAGCCCCCCATTAGGCTACGAGTACAGCTGGCTCCATTTCACCCCGACACTGAACTTGGCCTACCTGAGCTTGTGGTGGCTCCTCCCTCCAGGCATTTGTTCCACACCCAGGAGACCACATTGGCAAGCCTATTATCTGTCACTCAGCCCATGTCCGGAATGCAGCACAAACACTATGTCCTAGGTCATTTCTCACTGCATTGGGTTCATCTTCCTGACACCTCTGATCATTGCCTATGAAATCAAATCCACACTCCTTAGCCTGAGATCTGCGGCCCTTCGTGACCTTGGGCACCAACGGTGTAACTGCCATGATCCTGGGCTCCAGAGTCCAATGACCTAGTTTAGAATTGCTGGGCTATAGTAAAGATCTAAGGAGACCGTACATGTAAAGAATGTAGCACAGAGCCTGGCATATAGTCAATGCACAGTAGTTGACATCCATTACCATAGAGGAACAACTTGGCTGCACAAGCTACCTTTCACACTTGCTCACCTCCATGCCCTTCTTCATACTTGTCCCTCTGGGGGACCCTTCTTCACTCCCATCCACAGTTCGGGGGATCGGAATCCCACCCATCTCTGGTCAGAGGCTTCCAGCACTAGGAAGGCTTCCTGCGTGTCCTGGTCATTCTGTCCCCGTGAGTCTGTTAGTGATACCAGGCTTACCTGCCTCCAGAATGGAAACTCCAGGAGAACAGGAATTTTTTGTTTTATTTATTGCTATATGTCCAGTACCTAGTAGTATCTCTTACTTTTTTTTTTAAGTATGACTCTATTAGACAGTGTCCCCTTGAAGGACTTGTTACTGGTTTATTCCATAGCTTCCATATTGTCCTTGTGAATTCAGTTGTGATGAACTGCGGTGGGCAAATTATGAGAAAAGGATTCTGCTCAAAAAGGGGGAATGGGAAAATCCTGGGAGGCAGAAATAGGAGTCAATTGGGGAAGTTTTACTCCCTTTCTCCCTTGAGATGACAGTGAGGAGTCAACCGGAAACCCAGAAAAGCAGGTGAGACTGACGGTAGCTATTACAGGAAATGGTTGTAACTTGGGGTTGGCCTGCAGATAAATTAAGTTCAGTGGCTCACACCATATCCATAGTAAAGAGTGACCCGGTTGCCATCCACAGTTAGGTTTCTTTGATAAGTGTTGTCTTGAAATTGATGGTTAAGTCTTATTTGCAGGTCTGGATCCATAAGGTTTAATCAATTATGTGACATAGACAGCAAAGGACCTATCCTGAAATGTTCATTTCTTTTTCTCCTGGAGTGCTTTTCACGACCTCTAAAGACAAGAAAATCAGCTTCTGAAGGCCCAGGCCAGGGCGAAAGCTGGTGGTCCATAAATATTTGGTAAATAAATGAGTGAATGAACCAAAGAACAGACCCTGGAAGGATATAAAGCTCCTTTTGAGACCTCCCACATGTTTGCACTGTTACTGTTCAACTATGCTTTTTTAAAGAATAAATATAGGGGCACCTGGGTGGCTCAGTTAAGCATCTGACTCTTGATTTCGGCTCAGGTCATGATCTCAGGGTCCTGGGATCGAGCCCCCCACCTCGGGCTCCACACTCAGTGCGGAGTCTGCTTGTCCCTCTCCTGCTCCTTCTCCTGCTCTCTTAATCTCTAAAATAAAATCTTAAAAGATTCTCTCTCCCTCTCCCTCTGCTGCTCCCTGCCCCTACACCTCCCTCTCTAAAAAGAAAGAAAGAAAGAAAGGAAATATATAAATGGATTTAAGCATTACTGAAGCCATACTAGTGTTCTGAAATTTTAAATTTTTCTTGATCAACTATTATTGTGTGTGGGTGGGAGGGTTCTGCAAAATTTTCTAATATTCAGAAATGATCCTTCTACTTGAAAAGATTAGAGACATTTGGCCTAAGATGCTTTTGAAAGCACTTCCAGCAGAACTCTTTGACACCTTCTTGGCAGAGCTCCTTGTGAGTCACAAGCTCACTGCTGCCCTTTCTACTTTCAGATGGTCAGAAAAGTCTCACGCCATGCTCCCTTGGAGCCGATTCACCCGAAACAAACTGTCTTCTTTGCATATAATCCCCCCGGTTGTCTAGCCCAGATTCTGTGTTTCCTGACTGTAACATTCTACTGTTCCTTAAAGCTCAGATCACCACAATCACAATTTGAATATTGTCCAAAAGCAACTTTTGGTCGTTAATCAGTTGCCACAAATTATAGTATTAGATGAAGCACCAAATAACATGTAACCAATAACATGTAACATGTTTAGAATGTGCCAAATTCTCACTGAAAATATGCCCTCTTCTAGAACAAGCTTCTCAGCAGAAATTAACAACGAAAAATCAGTCACTTTTTCTTCACTGTCGAGCTGGTATATTTAACAAGGAGTGTGATGATTCACTTTATTCTGCTTCCAAAGCAAGTTGTCAACTCTAAGTTCCTGACATTCTGGTTTGAGCCAGACATTGACTGTTCTATCAGAAATCATTGTTTGATAAGTCCCAATGTCCTCTTCTGCCTGACTTTACTGAAATAAACCAGTGTGCAGTATGATAACTAAGTGGCTGCTCAGATATAAAATCTTTCCTTTGGGTTAGAAAAGAGGACCTGTACTTAATCTCAGAATTCTCAGCTATAGGCGATTTCAGTGACACTTAGGTGCCATTTGTTGGAAGAGGGCACTGCAGGATTGCTGGGTGCCTGTGCTTCCTAAGAAAGGTCTCTGATGAAGCACAAAGTCCTTGGCTGTAACTGTTGGATAAAGACTGACCAATGAATCTGCATTGATTATTATCTTTTAAATTCAGCAGTATCTCTTGACTGTACCAGGAACAGGACTGTGCCAGGAACAGCCACTCGGGAGACAATTAAGACATAGTTCCTGTTTCTGAGGAGCTCATTGTTTAGCAGGGGACGCGAGTGCGTGTAAAGGATGGATAGTACATATGAAATCACAATACAATGACAAATGCTGCAGCAGAACCAAGTTCAAAATGAAATGGAATCACTGAGTGTGTGAACAATTTCCAGGGGTGCTCAGGGAAGGCGCCACAGAGATTATTTTTACAGAACCTGGAACAATAAAAAGTTTTCCAGGAGAACAAATGTTAGGGAGTTGTGGTTGGAAAAGAAAAGGATGAGTATTCAAGGCAGGGAAAATCATCCATGCAAGGACGAAGAGAAGCCCAAGGAGAGCAGCCATAGCCCAAGTGGGGATCGGCAGATAAGAATGGACAAGTAGGCTACTCTCAGACTGGGGCCTTGGGTACCATGCTGAGTGAAGAGCCCATCAGGCGGATCATGGGAGGCGACAGGAGTAGGTCTGCTTAGGAAGGAGGAGGGTTTGGGGCAGTCAAGTGGCAGGAGAATATGTCATGAGTGGAGACTTGTTGTGAAGGAGTGGCTGTCCCAGAAGCTGAGAGGACAGGGTGGGACAACTTGAGAGATAAGCAGGTGCTACTTGTGCCAAAACCCAACATCTCCTGGTGATTAACACCAGAGCAGTGGTCAGGGGGCCCAGATAAGCCCTTGGCCCTCGGAACCTCTCTCTAGATTATTTCCGTTCAAATTTAACACCTGGAGCATCAGCCCGCAGAGTGGGATTTCCTCTGGATGATCTGAAATGAACCCTTGGGCCGGCAGTCATGGGACAGTAATTGAGTACATATGTAAAGCTCAGTGGAGCCCAGGACTCAAGACTGCCTGGGTTTGAATCCTGGCTCTGCTGTCAGCATCCTGCTAGACAGGGATGGCAATAGCACCTACCTTGCAGGGTTGGTGTCAGAGTGAAGAGCTGATCCATGGAAAGTGCTTAGAACGGTGTGGAACACAGTGGGCTCTGGGCAAATGAGAGCTCTATGGAGTGTGCAGTTGTTCGGCTAGACCATGTGAAATGAAAGTTGCTCTGGTCAGAGGGGCTGGGGGTGGGGTCATGCTCCTTTTCCCTGCCCATTCCGTGGAGTAAGCCTTGATAGAACTTTTCTACCAGCTGGGAAAGTATTGGACTCCCCCTATTCCTGGGGTTAATTTCTACCTGTAATTCTCGAGCCCAAGATGTTCAGGTACGGTTAGCTGCTGATGCCAGACCTGGAACAGTCTCTGCATAGAGTCTCTATTTTTCCAAAGATAGCAAAGTGAGAAAGCCTGCGGAGTACTGGGTGAGTCACCCACCACCTAAAGGTGCTGGAAGGATAATCCAGCCCAGGTACATGCTCCCCAGCATCAAAAGCCATGCCCAGTGTCCTGCAGGTAGAGAGGGACCACTCTCTGAGATTCTCTGAATCTCACCCTCAGACACAGACAGCTTGTCCCAGGAGTAGGGTTTAGAAAGGTTTCCCTGAGGGAGAAAAAAACCCACCTGTAAAACAGAATAGGAAGCAGTCATCCTTTCCTGCTACATGGAGTGATCTGGAATAAAATTCTACCTCAACAGCACTGTTAGGAAGAAAAAACGAGTTCATGCAAGTACTTAGCACATATTAAGTGTACAATGAGCCTCCGCTTAGTACTGTTATTTTTAGGCTATAATCCCAATTCTTCTTACACCTATTAAAGTAGGTATGGTGTTCAGTGGGTTGAGTGGATGTTCAGAGCCCGATAAATATACAGAACTGCAACAACAACAAAAATTCTCTCCGAGAAAATTCTGTGTCTTCATAGTTTGAGTAGATAAACGATACTTCCCACATTATGAGACACTACATAAATAATGTAAAAATTAATCCTTTCTAGTTTGGTTCAAGGTCACTGCTGTCATTTTAAAGCCTACAATTTCTACTCAGCCAGACCCTGCAGGAATCCTAGCAGCGTTTGCTGATTTGGCATCCACCCATCATGGAGTGTCATGCAGGTGAGGATTTTTTCAGAGAACCCTAACAAGTGAGATTTTATCACAGCATTACTGACCCCCAAACAAGACAGGGGCAGTTCTAGAAGCACTCCTTGGCTTCCATTAATAAAGGTTAGCTGTTACATTAGGCAGACCAGTATACTCTGGGGAGTAACTAGTATCTTATTAAGTTATAAATACATTTAACGGCTTCAGTACTGGTTTCTTATTTTGGAATATAAAGAAGAAAAAATAGAACTCATAATCATTAGAGTCTAAGTATAATGCCACTATTTTTTATAACATGTATTTACCTACAATACTGCTTATGAACTACCTTGTTTTTCTAGAGCCCACATACTCCCTCAAAGGACACTGTGACTCTCCTGTAATTGTAGCAGGCCACAAGAAAAGTGGTAGATTATAAAATCACATTACTTGGTTTTGATTCAAACGAGTCAGACCAGTTCAGAGACTGAGACTTCCTTCCCCACTCTCAGCCCCCTTCTGGTTTCTCATTAAGGGGAAAAAAAAAATGCCGTCCGTGCCCATCTCCATTCACTGAACTCTGAACAGAACGCTAACCAAGTTTTCTTATAAAGGGCACAGAGTTCTTATCTTTCACTTTCTGCACAGAGAAAGATCATACTTAAAATCATTTACCAAGTAATAAATGACTGTTACATCAAGCTCAAGCTTACCTCATTTCCTGTTGTTGACCTGCTAGCTGGTCCATTGACTGTGGGCAAATTCTAGAGCTGTGTACCCTCCAAGATGCCCAGGCATGGAGACTTGTCTCAAGGAACACTCCGGTGGTTTGGTGGGAAGCGGTCCCTGAATTGACTATGAGGAAATCTAAATAAACTGCACAGGTGTTATATGCTCCATCTGGGTTACACCCCTCACATCCCACCCCCCTTCTGTTCCCAAATACAAACGAACCACTTCCATCTTTTGCTATCTCCTGATAAGGAACACAGTGCTTCTCATCTTCACACCCTAGAGGTCTCCGCCCCTGCGGGAGCTGTGTAAGAAAGCCTACTCCCCAGGTGGGCTGGACTGCTGGTAACCAGGGGCCTCAATGGGGGTCAGGGGGTCACCATGCCGCAGGGCCTGAGCTGTTTGCCCTTGGTTAGCGCTGACAGGCCCCACCTCAAAAAGGGCTAGAAATGGTTCTTCTGGACTTCTTCCCACACAGAGAATGGCTAAGCTATCTAAGGCAATCTGTAGTTGGCTTTAAAATCAGCAATGGGGAGGGGAAAAGAAACCTCACAACAAACAGTGGTAACAGAAGGTTTGTGTGGGAAGACGGTTAAGTTTGGTCTAAAACAAGCAGTGTCTCTGGTAATGAGCTGTTGTTAGGAAATACGTGGGCCCCCTCAGTGCCTGCAGCACTTTTAAAGAGCACGGTTGCTGTTTCTTGAGGGTTTTTTCGGGGGGGGGGGGCGATGAGTGGGGGAAGACACAGTGAGGTGAAGGAGAGACCCAACTAAAGAGCAGGGAGCATTACAGAGCACTGGAAAGAAGCATCTCTAAGTGTTGCAGCCATGAATCCCAGCTCCACTCTGCAGCCACTGTTCCACCGTAACACATCTCTCAGGCACAACAGGCTCATATGTGAAATGAATGTACCTAAAGAATCAGTCAGGGTTTTGGTGTGAAACAAAGGGCACACTCAGCTGCGTGACTGAGTTTCATAAAGGGGCTATTTATAAAGGGTGTGGGCAGGGTTAGGGAACTTCTGTGAGGACAGTGAAGCAAAACAGGGAGTCAGGACCAATCCTCTGCTGGCTAGGACAAGGAGAGGGTGTGGTCACCAAACCCTGAAGCTGTCAGACAGGAGCTGTGGCCTTAGGCAGAGGAGCCCAGCCACTGTCAACCCACACCTGGCAGGAAGGAGCCAGGGGAATGAATTCACCGACTTCTTCACCTCTAATCCACCAAGCTCCTTCCAGAGCATCTCTTGTGGACCCTGACCAGAAGACAGGATAGGTCTGCAGAGGCCAACCTCCAGAGCGAAGTACAGACTACGTAGGGGATCTGGAGGAGCCAACAGAATATCTAGCACACCTAGATACCTGATAGAGCTGATGGGAGGTTAAAATGAAATAATCATCATAAATGCCTGATGCGGCAAATGCTCAGTCACTACCAATTTGGTCAGACTATCCATTTGGCATTTACTTATCAAAAGGCCACAACCTAACTTTTATTCTCAGGGGGCAAAAGCCAGGATGAAAACAAAGACATGTGGTCGTATAACCAGAGTGAAAAACAAAACTTTTACAAAGTTGACGGATAACATTTATTAAAACATGTCATACAAAAGGGCATGGTCTCTTCTATAAGAAGAAAATATTAAACAGTAACATTCAATTAAGTAAAACCATGCTGTACACTGAAGACAGCAATATATAAGGACAAAACTATTCAACTTTTGCAACACAGGCATAACATTTCACAAAATATCAATAAGATATGCACCTAATGATAATGTTTATCATCAAATGGTTTTGTGGTCTAAGAGTCACCTGACTTGCATAAATAAAGTAATTTTCTGGAAGAAACATTGGGAACCTCATAAAAGGAAAGAAGGCAGCAGCACTGACATAATATGACACAGGCTTCAAGCAACACTAAAAAAAAAAAAAAAAAAGTCACATTTGCAAAACGTGTTCCAGCATCTTCCCATCGGGCACTATCAGTAGAGATTTGAAATAAGAAACATGTACCTTTAAATATATAAGTAGCAAAGAAAAAAACCCAAACAAACAAACCCTGGTTTTACTCAACAAAGTTAGTGACCCATGAAAGCAATTAAATCACAAAATTAGTGTGGCACAGATGGGGTAAATATGCTGCTTGGTTTCCAGCATTCCTAAATGAGACCTTTACAAAGACAAACTCCTGGATTTGGTGTGAAGCCCTCCCCACCCTCATGCAGGGGGCTGCAGCAAATCCCCCTCCCCAGGACAAACACAACTGAGCTGCTTCTGTTCTGCCCCCATGTCACTTAGGCAGCAGTTTGGGGATGCACGTGCCTCTGCAGCAAGGGGTCACTGAGACCAAGCAGCTCTCCCAAACCGCGAGAAGCCAGCGCCGGGTCAGTTTGGTTCAGCAAATGGCCACTAAAATGGAGAAGACCCTTTTGGGTAGACTCTTTGAAAGCCGTGGCCTACAGAAGGGATTAGAGGAAGGTGAGATCTAGAAATCAGAATCAATAGGCTGGGGCCCAGGAGCGCCTGAGGGTAACCCTCAACACGTGAGGAAAGGCTACCGCAGTCCTTCCCTAGATGGTGATCCCTACTTGACCAAGTGGATTGTTGTGATGTGTAGATCTAAAATTAAAGGCATTAGGTATAAATACTAATATTAAATACTACTGATGGTGCCTTGAAGCCCTTTCCCACTGGGACTGGAGAAGAACCACAGTGAAGACTCAAAGTAGGGGACAAATACCTTGGTTGTAGGCCATTAACACGATCCCTGAAAGACTGTTTGGAAAATGTTACCCACAACTATCCAAACTCATTTGGAAGGATAAAGATTTTCTAAAGCTATACTGAGGCTACGGAGAGAGACAATCCAACCCAGTGTGGGCAGGAGAAAAAAGGTAGTAATCCAGTACAATCTCCTAATCCTAAAAAGCAAAGTTTATAAAAATTCACTTTCACTATCCAAACTAAGGCAATCTCTGTCCCCCACTTCTCTGAACATGGCCAGCATTTCAGATGCCCAACCACCTCGCAGGGTCTGACTGACCCGATTAGCAACCCAAATTTTAAAGGAAACCCCAACTACCATAAACAACTTAAAACAGCAGATGTGAGGAACTTACACTTTAAATTCTATACTTAGCTGATGTACATCTTAGGATTTTGATAAAAGACACCTTTCTTCACAACACATGAGATTAAGTCCCAGCACAACTGACTACTTCCCAAATTGCCACCAAAGGGCTGCCCACCACTCCTGGCTAAAAAAAAAAAAAAAAAAAAAAGAGTTCTTCAACATTACTCATAACAAAGGTGCTGTCCTAATTTCAGCATAACTGAAGAACCATGATTTTTCTAGAATATTTTGATTTTACCTCTCAGACTCTTCTCCCAAAATGTCCCAATGCTCATTTGAATACAATCTTTAATGGGAAACACCACATCAAACCTTCCAAATCATTAGAAAATGATTTGCTAATACCATGGGAGAGGGTGATCAGCTTTTGGCAGAACAAAATGGCTTCACTGCCTTGGTAGTGAAATCAGTAGGAACAAAAAAAGTTTCTTCTCACACGTAATGGCTAGGATCATCCCTAAAACCCATTGGCTTCTAACATGAAAAAAACAAAAGAGAAGGAGCAATTGAGCTCTGCTTGCACAGTCACCTCTATACACATCTGTCAGGTATGCAGAGAAAGGACTGTTAACCGGTGAAACTTCGACACAAAGAGTATTAATGTGGCAAACAACCAAGAGGTAATATCTAGTTTCTAGGTTAAAAAAATCAATATATATATATATATATATATAATAAAGTTTTAAATACAAAGTGCTTTTTATATATCGAGAATGATACAGTGTTAATGAATAGATCCCTGTTTTGTAATGTAGATTGCAAGAGTTAACTGGTAAATAAGTACTTTCTTTCCCCTTTCCAGACAACGTTCAACAAGTAGATGCCTTTGTGGTTGGAGCATGAGGACCAGAGGCCATTGCCAGCAATGTCTATCACACTGGAGCAAAGCCAAACTTTTAAAACAAAATTTCACCTCAAATCCAGGAAAAGTTATTTTTATTTTAAGGAAAAAAGTTTCCACTTGGAAGTAAAAGACCAGTAATCTGTGGAAAAGCTGACATAAGAGTAGCACCCTGTCCTACCCTGGTGAGAACTTCAGGTACCTGACGTAGCTTGAAAGCATCCCGAACAGAGGCTTCCTTTTTAACCTAAAACATCTGCCCGAGCTGCAGAAAAGATCGCCAAGAACAGCTGCTTTTCTTGCTGGTTTCTGGTGTGTACAGCTACGTGGACTTGTAAATTTATGCAGCTTTACCTAGAATTTGGGAGCATGAAATCTGTAGACTACTTTCTAAAATTAGGATTCTTCTTTCCCCCTTTGAAAACACGTTCCAGCACTCCGAAGAACTGGCAGCATTAGCTCAGCGTGCCCCA